ACGGCTAATGTAGATGATGAGATTTTAAAGTTATCTTCGTTCATAGCTTCATGTGTTTGCGTTTTACATCGGAAGCTCTTCCCTGAAGGCGATTTGTATCCCTGGCTGGAATCGTACCGGGGACCTTTTGCTTACCACACGCACACCGATGAGATGATGAGTATTTAAACTCTACAATTGTCCGTTTTTAAAAGGAAAACAAAGGATTACCTCAGATTAGTCTGTATCTCTTTGCACAGGATCAGCAGGATAGTCAGTTTGAATTTGTACTTGACTTTTTCGCACTCTGACCGCTTTGTGGCTCCTCGGAGAGGAAGACGAGGGCACATGCTCTTCAATTACATGACATGCATTTGCTTTTTTGTTCTTTGTTTTTAAAACCCTCCCATGACCACAATACTGCATGCAAAATATTGTGTTTATTGTTTGAGTAACTAGAAAATTAGATGGTTCCTTCGGTTTCCAGTTCTGTGAAACTTATGATTTTTAAAGGGCTTTGTCAGCCTGTTCCAGTAAACATCCAGGCCCTGGCAAGAACTTGCATACACACTATATACCAGCACGGAGAATAAAGTTGTACTTCTAAACCGCTCGAACAGTTTGTGGAGGAAAAATCCATCAAATCAAATAGGTGGCATGTCAAAGGAATATCACATTAATTAGCTTAAAGATCCTTTTTCCCCGATAACTTGCCTTATTTTCTCATGTACATGTAACTCAAGAGCTACACCTAATTCTAAAACATGCTAAGATTATATATCAGTATGCGCATAAGACCCCATTTTCAGTATTTTTCACTTTATGCCTCTTTAACATCCTGTGGTTATTTCCACCTGCTCTAATTCCTGCTTTTAGGCGTAGAAGAAGAGTTCTCTGTTTGATTCGACACATTGGAGCAAAGGGGGATTACCGCTAATACACTCTGCTGAGAAGTTGGAGAGTTTCTCGGCACGGCTACCTCACTCTGCATCAAAGCGAGGGAGGGAGGGAGGGAGGGAGGGAGGGAGTTTGTGATATGTAAACAACAAAAAAGAAAAAGAGAAATCCGGTGACTGGTGTAGATTATCCCTAACACAGCTTTTCTTTTGTATCCCTCTTGACTTTAAAGGGCCGTCTTCTCCTTGTATACACAGCACATTGTTACGCTAAGAATACTTCAGCAATGTGACTGCCTTCCCGTGCTTGCTTCAGGACCCATCACTCCATCACTCCATGTGTGCTCACATTCTCCTTTTTTCTCTTGCTTCCTTTTGTCTGGGATTGATGCTTTAGACCCTTAAAAGGAGATGTTCTCTAAGCCTCATGAATGAGGGCACATATGGCTCACATCTTCATAGCTTCATATAAAAAAAGGCAAATGAAAGGGCTTGATATTATTTGGCAAGGAGCGATCAGAGACAGTCAGTAGCTGCCACCTTGGGAAAGCAAGGACTGAAGTGGAACTTGAGAGAGAACATCTGGTTAGTGTTAGCTCTGTCGCTTGCTTCCTTGCAGTCCTGTGAATATACAGTAACTGCCGGGTGTCTGGTTGCAGCTGACATGTGATCATACTGTACTGCACTTCCACATTTTGAAAACACATGGAAAGAGCAGCAACTTTGAAAAACACAAGTTGATTTGGTTTTTTTTTTGTTTTTGTTTTTTGACTACTCGGGATTTTAGCTCAACGTCTCATTTGTATGGCTCTAATAGTAATTTTCCATTAAAGCCTGTTTTTTTTCCACATGAGCTCTTTTCTTCCAGCTTCAGAGTGCAAGAGAGAAAAGGAGGAGGCTACATGTGAAAGGAGGAGGTTGATTTGCATGTCAGCACCTCTCTCCAGACAGAAAGGCAGGCTGGCTGAGAGGCCTGGGGGCGGGGGGCATTCTAGTTCAGCTTTTTCAAAGACTGCTGACTGGCTTCCTCCTGTGTCGGCCCAGGAACCTGGGAACAGGCAGCATGCATTCCTCCCTCTGATTGCAGCTGATGAAACACTCATGCGCCTCTGTCTTCCCAGGACCTGGCACATGCAAACTTCTCAGATTCAAGCCACAGCAATGTGCTGCGGCCAACTCCAGCATGCCAAACCTGGGCAGGGCTTAGATCAGATACAGATAGATGCGGATTCATTTCAGTTTTAACATAACAAAGCAGCGTTCCAGTTACAAAGCTGGCATTCACACAAAATGAATGTTAATGCAAGTTGTTTTTTCTCTTTTTTTCTTGTCTTTATCCAGTTATCAGGGCAAAGGTAGTCGGAAAGCAAGAGGTGGATGTTGGCAATGACGTCTATGGGGATTCCATCAAACGGCTTAAGTACGACATTAAACAGATCAAGGTATTTAGGACAAAGCTATTGCATTTATCATTTTTCTTCCATGTGTAAAAACTTCAGTGGAATCTAAATGTTTTTGCTTGAATTCCCAGATGTTCAAAGGTCCCAGCAACGCTATCGATGCCTTCTACACAGCTCGCTCTTCTGCGATGTGTGGAGTGTCTCTGGAGACTGACGGCAGGAAAGAGTATCTAATCACAGGTATGACTTTCAGTGCAGTTTAAAGCACATGTTGTGTAATATAACAAAACATGTTCTTTAATGTGGCTTCCTATAGATTCTTATATATCCTCTAGATTTACACTATGCTCTCCTTCCACTGTAGGAATGCTGGAGGCTGATGGGACAATGCACGTCACTCTGTGTGGCTTATTTGAACCCTGGGACAACCTGACTGCCACTCAGAAGATAGGTCTGACTGAGCGCTATCAAATGGGCTGCGAATGCAGGGTATGGAAAATTTATGATTAAAAGTCTAAGGGAATAGTTAAAGTTTACATTTACCATGTTAAGATGATCACTTCCCAGTTGTATAAAACAAATCACCGCTAGATGCACGATGTTGTAACGATCACTGTGCTTTTTCTGATCCTCAGATCACCTCCTGCAGCTCCATCCCCTGCATGATCAACAGCCCATCCGAGTGCCTTTGGTTGGACTGGTTGATGGAGAAGACTGAAAATGGAAGACAAGCTAAACACTATGCATGCATCAAGAGGAGTGATAACTCTTGTGCCTGGTACAGAGGCTCTGCAGCGCCCAAAAAGGATTTCATGGACATCGAAGACCCTTAACTTTACCACTGTGCACATGTCTGCAGTTTAAATATGCCACCATAGAAATATCAAAAACAAAAATAAAAAACTCATCAAATTCCCCTTCTTTTAATTATCAAAAAAGCTGTAGAGTGGATTTTTAAAAAAGGAAAAAAAAAAGGTTTTAATTGCAGATCTCATGTTTTCACTTATCATTCCTATGAGCTCAGCGCTTTTTGCCACACCGGCCCCTGAATCTGAAGCACATCCTCATAAACCACTTCTCCTCCAGCTGGAACAAAGGGGGGAAAACACCATAATTCAATGATACAATTTCTTCCTGAGCTATTAATCTGTAATTCTTTATACAAGTTTTAAAGGGTTCTATAATTAAAATAACATGTACCTACTGATCAAAGTTCTGTGAATCTGCTTTGATAAATAACACCAGGAAACAATCATCATCCTGGCAGAGCTATCACAGGGAACAGGAGCATGCTTTTTAAATGTGTGGCAACTGATTTGTGTTAAAGCACGACTCTTTAACCACAGTCGCTGCTTTTCTTATACTATAATCCTGAATAGACAAGAAGGCACTTTGAACATAATTATATCGCAACATTCATATTGTCTGTAATGAAAAAAACATGTTGGAATTAAAAGAGGATCAAATCCTCCATGGTTTGTTGTTTTGTTTGTTTTGTTTCTGCATATATAGGTCACAGCTCTAGGCACTGTTATACTTTAGTATGTGTGAGCACATATTTTATTTAAGGTACTACATATAATAATTATTGGGAAAACACTTAAATTCTCTTTTTTTGATAAATAAAATATGTAAATGTAAGTGTATGTATATACTGTGGGGAAAAAATTAAATGGCCCATCGGCTTGGTCAGTGGAAAACAACAAGATCATTGAATTGTTCCCTTAATTTTTGTTGCAGTATATTTAAATAAAGAACACCATATATTTTCTTAACATTAGTAAAATACATTTTTGTTGGGAATAACAGATTGTAACCAATCATTTTTCTCGCACTGACGGCACTAAGATTGCCGTCAGTGTGGCGCAAATGTGACATGAATAATTAATATGAGAGTGTAAAAAGATTCGTCATTTGAAACTGTAGTCAAGTATGATGTGCTGGTTTCACATGGGACTTTTTTTTAAAGATAAGATGACTTTTGTATGCATAGCCATCTGAAACATTACTGTACATTTGACCCTTACAATTAAATTCATAAACCTCTTTCGGTGTGCTCAGTATTTTCATACCAGTACATGCAACAAGCACACTTTGCTGCTAAATCTAAATGCCTAGGAATGTGCATTTAGTGCAGATCATCATGCATCATTTTAGCTTACTAAATCTGTAATTTAGAGACTCGTTTGAGGCAATCTACTGCCGCCTACTGGAGACAACAGCAACGTGACATTCACGAGCCAATCCATGTGCCCAGATCAAGCAAACATGAGTCCATTCAGCATTTCACAGCATGCAATCCTTTTTCACTGTAGATTTTAAATGCGTTACTATTCTAACATTAAAATGTCCTGCTCTTAGGATAACACTGCTGGTCTTTGCAATGACAATCGAATGAAATGCAATCTTAGAAAGAAAAGCAAATGAAAAAGCATCATTAAAAATGTAAAATGGGGGGGGGTGTTTGTTTCTTTTGCCCTCCTCTGGGAATTTTCATGAGCATGAGTAGCGGTGTGATTCAGGCCCTGCCATGTTTCCGCGCGTTTTTGTTGTTATATAAAAACATAATCAGGTATCGCGCATCAATGGTAAACAGCGCTGGCTGGAAGTCACGTGTAGCCCTCTCCCGACAGATCGACGTCACGTTAAGCGCCGATTGGCTGAACCTTTCGGCTACAGCGTGACCTGTGCTCTGATTGGTCCGTGATTCCTGTCAGTCATTTTTTTTCTATCGCCCTCTCATAATGCAGCATGGGCGAAAATACTAGATTGAAGAGCTTCATCTGAGGAAGCAGAGGCTTCTAGTTTAAATTATTTTGTCCCGTTGAGTGAAAGGTAAGTGAACGGAAAGGCGTATTCGTGTAATATCTGTTCGCTGCTTGTTTACGTGGTGCTGTCGTTGGGCTAAGAGGCGAGATGTGGCGGTTAGGGAGGTTTGTTAGCTACCTGGGTGCTGGGATGCTAACCACATTGCAGCACTGAGGGAGGCTGGCTTTCGCCACGTTAAGTTAGCTTGGCTGCTAACCGCGTTGCTCCACTGTTAAACGATTGAATAGCAGAACACGAATCAGTCGACAGCAGGGACAGATAAACGATTAAATATCGAGCAGTTGCGATATTTAGCGACGCTTCCTGTATAAATTTTAAACGGTTCAGGGCGAGATTAGCTGCGGCTGTAGATAAGCAAACTAGCATTCAAGCTTTGGTGATTGGCCCATAGTGGTGGGACCAGTAGGTGAGCAGCTACACCGGCTACTTCATGGAGCTCTTAACGACCTTTAGAAAAAACAAGACCTCAAAATAGCTTAAATTATGCGTCCAGGTAGATTTATAAGCAGGTCAAAACAATAAGCTGTGGGATTTAAGAAGTGAAATCTCTACACTTTGAGTGTGTGCTTGTGGGAGTGTGTTGAAGCGAGTGAGTAGCTTTTTGTAGATCTATATATTAAACCTGGAGTAGTCCAGTCTTTGGGGTTTTTTTTGTGTCATTAGACAAACCTTTGCAGCAAGTTCTTTAAGAGTGATCTGAACCCTCAGTTTTAAAAACATATAGGATGGCAGATTTTTTTTTTTTAGAGCAATTCTTGCCTGTGGGAAGCACCATGTGGTGTTGCAGTGGGTTTGACCCAATGCTCCTCTAGTGGTGGCGGGTGACTTAGAACAGATATGGGAGAAGGTGAGGGCTGAATGCATGTTTTCATATTCTGGTGTTTTGTTTTAATAGTTTATGGATTTTTTTTTCCTCTGTCGTTTGAGTAGTAGTTGAGAATGAATTATTTCAGGGATAAATTATGCTGAGTAAGTAATGTTAATTATCCAAAGCTTCTGTGGCTCAACAAGACAATAAATAAATAAAACATGTAAAGCTACCCACTGTGGTGACCCCTTGTAAATAAATGCCCTTTTTAAATGATATATTGCCTCATATATATATATATATATGCCTCCTATATATTCAAAAATAATCTTTTTTTTTTAAAATGTTCTCATAGTTTGTTTTGTGTCATAATTCAACATTTTTGGTAGCCCTTGAAGTCACCTGCATCCAGCAGTAGTTTAGGCAGGATATGTGCACGATCTATGTATACATAGTTTACGAAATGCAAATAAAGAGTCAGTATTGGGTAATGCAAGTATTCACTGGAGGGTACTTGAAAGTAATCCCGCTGTCTCTACATTTTTTTTTTAATTCTTTGTTTATATATTAGTAGCTAACATAATCTGCTATTGACGGTCCATAAAAGCACTTAATAAACTAATTCAGCTGCAATCTATCCTACAAAAGTAAAAGCTAGTTTTGGTTGTTCACTTATTCGGAAAGGATCACGCCGCATGTTTACACAGGATGCCCTTCGTGATGCAATCCCAGAAGGAACTCTCAGGATCAAACTGAGGTTCTCCGAACTTTCACTGTGCAATATGGAGTCAATCTATCCTTTACGAGTCAGTTTTCTAAACATCTAAATTTAAGTTCAATATCAGTTGTGTTCCTACAAATTGAATGAAATATTTTCATATCAGTGTGAGGATTACCTTTTAAAATTGGAAACAACCAGGTTATAAGTTTTTAAACCCCTGTAAATAGGCTTTAAGTCGTATTGTTTAGTTTGACATTGCACTACATATTGATTACATAGGCAAAATGGCTTAACAAGACCTTACGCTTAATGACTGTCTGCCTGTGTACATCCCTTCCTTCATTGAATGGAATAGCCCTTTATTGTCATGGTACATGTACAATGAAAAAGGCAAAGGGCATTGATGGAAAGTGGAACAGAAAACAAAGCCATGCTAACATAAATTATCACATAAAGTGGAAACTTATTAAAGTTGGCTTTAAGATATCTGAAGTACTCTTAACATTAAAAAGCTTTACCAGTGTAATTTTATGCTTGATGTAAGCTTGAGTTGACAAGACGAGGAATTGTATTTGTTTTATTTTTGGATTTAATAGATTATTTTTTTTCTTTTCAAATTAAGCATCGGTGTAAGTAATTATTCCCAGATTATCACTGTTTGTGAAAACCTTCACTCACCTTAAAATGACCCGTCTCTTAGATAGCATCATTTGTTAGTTATGCAACCAGCATATCCCAAACAGCAGTCAGAAAGTTTCTGTGTTATCAGTAATGTGACACAATCGGATTAAACATCCGTGTTTTGGTCAGCGCATCAGCAGAGCTGCCTGTTTGGACGGTTGCATCACTGCAGTTAGCTCCCTCTCCCTGTGGGCTCTGTGCTTCTTAGTTGTATCAGTATCAGCAGCACGTGAAGGTCAGCATGCCCTTGTGCATACAATGCATGTTCGGCCCTCCTTCCCTCTTCATGACGTCACTGCCTACTCTGATGAGTAAGTCGTAGTGCTGTATTGTCTCTACGATGTAGCCTTTGCTTCTGTTTGTTTTTTTTCCCTTAGATGTTTTGTTGTCTTTATCTGGGGGGGGACGGTATCATTTGTATGGGTAAACTGAGAGAAGATTGAATGTTTTACACACTCACCATCAAAATATGGCGTTGCTATGCTGTGTAATAATAGCTTACTCGTGAGTTTAAAAAGTAAGTCACAGGTTCAGCGATTGATAGTTGAATGTGTTAATCGAGGGATTGCAGGTCACCTACTCTCCGACCCTCTAATGCTCCCGTAGTTTGGAGTTGGTCTCTGTTAACTGCAATGATCAGCTGTGTAAACAATGTGTCACTCTTTCCTTTGGACTTTGATCTCCTCATTTCTTCCCGCTGCAGTCAGCCGGCCAGTCAACTTGATCGACTAACACCCTTCATCAGCTGTTTAGTTTAGCAGCCTGAATCAGAGCTCCTTTACAGCTGCCTGGTGTAAAGCAGCAGTTCTCAACACTAAAATGGTCTTTGTGTACATTAAGCTGCTTTTTATGTGTAGAAACAGTACGTGGAAAACACTTTTAGGTTTACTGTTATTACTTGTTACTGTAGATCTCTCACTGTTGTGACAAGAATTAAGGAGCTACAGCTTTACTGATTATGCACTCACTGGAGTCGAGAGGATGAAAAAAAAATTTGATTAGGTCAAAATGTGACTTGTATTGGTTGTATAAATGTAATTTGGCAGTTAACTACAGCTGCTCACACCTTATGTGTAAGCATAAATGCTCTCTCTCTCCTATCCCATACACTCCCCCACCCTATGTTACATCTGATGCCTTGCATAACTGCAGGGACAGCTGCCAAGACCCAGCTGGAAGCACTCAGTCCTTATCTCTCTTGTAAGGTGATGTCAGAAAATGTGCCTAGAGAGGTACCCACTGGAGGGCAAACAAACGGGTTTAATTTATTAGCTATGAGAGCAATTTAACTTGTATTTGCAGGTTTAATTTTGCTCATGTTTAACTCTGAAACAAAGTAATTTTGTGTGAGCATTTTTTGCAGATATAAAAAAAGGATGGCATGTCATTGATATCATTGAAATGGTACATTTTTATTTATTTTTATTTTTTTGTGCAGTCTTGAGAAGTGATGCTGACACCCAATCTGTTTGTCCCCACAGTGATGTTCCAACAATGCCGATAGTGGATAAACTCAAGGAGGCTTTAAAACCTGGCCGAAAGGACACAGGCGATGAGGGTGACCTCAACAAGCTATTGGCCTCTTCTGCCAAGAAGGTCCTTTTGCAGAAAATAGAGTTTGAGCCTGCCACCAAGGGGTTCTCCTATCAGCTCGACAGCCTAAAGAACAAGTATGTGATCCTCAATCCTAGGACTGAGGGTGCTACAGCACAGAAAGCTGCAGAGCCTGCTCAAATTAAGAGGCAAGGTAAGCTCTCAAAATGAACTGAAAATTGAGCAGAATTTGATGGCCTGACATTTTCCATGTTTGACCTTTTGTTCTTTGATGCTTACCCTGAAAGCTCAGTTCTGGCGTTCTGTCCTCGGCTAATGTCACAAAATTGCCTGTACCCCTTCTTTAGTCTTAGAGAATGTGGTCGGGGGCCAGAGCGATGGGATCCCTGCTCCGCAGAAGATGCTCTTTCCGGGGAACAAGATCACCCTTAAGTGGGAGCGTGTGTACAGGGTGGGAGCCGGCCTCCATAACCTTGGAAACACCTGCTTCCTCAATTCCACAGTGCAGTGTCTCACCTACACGCCGCCACTTGCCAACTACTTACTCTCAAAGGAGCACAGCCGTGTCTGTGAGTAGATTTACTATCCCATTTACTTATTTTTTTTATTTTTATTTTTTTTATTTTAAACACTAACAGTTTCTCACACAGTTTGGGGAATTACTTTTACCTGGCCTATATCCCTGCATGTGCCTGAAGAAGGAAAAACAAGAAGTGTAGCTTCATTTGGTTCACCTAGTTTACCGTAATTGTCGGGCTATAAGCCGCTACTTTTTGCACCAGCTTTGAACCCTGCAGCTTTTAGTCAGGTGCGGCTTTTCTATGGATTGTCCGTGATTTTTGTCATATCGTAAGACGATTTGTTTTGTTTGTTCCGCTGTTGTACGGCACTATGTTGCCTGGCGGAAGGGCATGTGATCAGACACACAGTATCGGGGTTCAAGAGTGGTATGTTGGTCACATGTCCATCCGCCAGGCAACATAGTGCTGTACAAGTAGTGCGAAAAACAAACTTCAAAGTAGCGCTATGTGTTCAGCGGGATTCGTGGATGATGAGCGGCGATAAACTTGCGAAAAGCAAGTTATGCTCAATTCCACCGGTGGATTCTGACAGCGTGGAAAAGTGTGAAAACATCCACGATCACCAACGGATTTCAAAGGGCTGGACTGCTGCATGATGGAGAGGAGGACACCGCCACGGCCCTTCAGAGGGTGTTCGACTCTGACACTGACAACGAGGATTTCTTTGGTTGGTTTTGTAAGTGACAACGAAGGAAAGAAGCTGAGAGTGGATGACGAAGCCATCCTGAACCTGTTCATATCCGACACTGGAGAAGAGGACTTTGGTGGTTTCAGTGCGCAGGAAGAAGAGAAAGATGGTGGTGAATGACTGACTTTTCTTCTTGTTAAAGCCGTGTCACTGCACCTGAGCCTAAAAGGTAGTCTGAATCTATTTTTCTGGTGTGCTGCAGGTTATTGTTATGTACTACATTTGTTACTCATTTATGAAGCACAGTACATGTTTCGTACTTGTAATTACCACTACTTGTACATATACCTAAAAAGTTATGCAAATATGTACCCATAGCTTGTTTTTTCAAAATATTAATAAAAGGGGTGTGTCTCCAAACAGCCATCTCTTTCCTGACAATTCCCTTTGTGCATATTGTCTTACATATGATAAGTCAACATTGAAACACCTGCGGCTTTTAGTCAGGTGCGGCTAATGTATGTACAAAACAGGATTTTCCCCTGATTTTAGCTTGTGCGGCTAATATTCAGGTGCGCTCTGTAGTCCGGGAAATACGGTATTTTGAGCTCCCAATCATCCAGGGATTTCCTTACCTGGATGATTGTACATGCATCAAGACATTTATTATTTGGAGTGTTTTTTACTCGTTTTGATCATCTCATTCAAACAGACTCTATATAAAAGATTAACATATTGTAATATCAGCAGCTTGTTTGTGGAATGCCTTTTAACCCCTTAAATTTGAGTTAAAGGTATTGTTTTTGTATTTAATGCTAACACCTGCTTATACTTTTATGTTATGTGTAACTCCTCTTCCTCTTTGTTGTTCAGGTCACCAGTCAGGCTTCTGTATGATCTGTGTAATGCAGAACCATATCATCCAAGCCTTCGCCAACACAGGCAACGCCATTAAGCCCGTCTCCTTCATCAGAGACTTAAAAAGTAAGATCGCCCTCCTTTAACAGTGCCTGAGCAGTTTATGCCTTCTAGGTTTATCTCAGACGTCACATTTATTGGTTGGCTACTCTCAAGGGTAATGTGTTGCAACAGTGTCCCGTATGACAACAATGGGCAGTAACTGCAGTATAGAAGTGGAGCAGTGAGACTGCAGTTAGTGAATGAATCCCACGTAGACAGTAGCGATGAGGTGTGAGTAGTGCCCTGACACGGCGAGTTACTGTGCTGTAGTTTCATTGCACCCTAGTCCCCTCCCTACCTGGCTGCTTCCTCCTTATGTGATGCTGCAATCATGTCTCCACCTCCTGTGCCTCATTTTCTCTGCCTCCCTCCTTTCCCAATGCCCTTTCTGTCTCCTTGTGACTGCGGGCTTTAGCACAAAAATGTACAGGCCACCTGCTTTCTCCCCCCCCCATCAGAGCTCAGGATGCGCTGTATGTGTGTTCAGGTTTTTTATACATTGATTTAGCTAGTGGCCTCCTCTGTAGCTTAAAATGTGCCGCTAATGCTGGAACAGTTTAAATGCACACATTGAAATATCAACCTCGTTATTTCTAGACCAACTCTAAAGCCCATTAATATAGTGCCATATCACTGCACAAAAACAAAAGAGCTTACTGCTGCCGATTCCTGAACTGCCACCAGATCTCACAGCTGAGGTTTCACAAACAAAATAAAAACACGACACACCAGTATTAATGCCCACAGCTTTAATGTCTTCAAGATGTTGCCTCTCTCCTCTCCTGGAAGTGCCTGGAATAGATCATTAGTGCTTGATGTATTATATTCCTTTTTCCCCACTCTCGGGTGACTCATTGTTGTGAATGTGCAGGGGTGCTATGCTGGGAATATGTTGATGACCACATTCTATTAGCTCATCCAGTTTTCCATTAGGAAATTACAGTAGGGTACATTATCTCTACTATGAGACTCTTACTGCAGATTAGACGCCGCTCTGTAACCATAACATGTTTATTGGGTCATTATGCCATGGTCTGGGTGAAAGCTCTAGTTTGATTGGCTGCAGGGTGTACTGTATTTCCTGATAAAGGACCTTTATGTAGTTACAGTGAAACAGCCAGCCCACTGTTTGAAATGAATGTGCTGACCTAACCTGTTTCTATAATAGTTACAAAAAAGTGTGACTGTTAACCTATCTGGGGAAAATGACAACTTGGATGGCTGGAGTGTAGCTAAAGAGACTGGACACAAAAAGGACAGGAGGTGCTAGTTTCTAAAGGAAGAAACAAAGGACTGCTAGAGTTTTGTACTGTCCAGTTTGCCAGTGTAGGAAGAGTATAGTGCCAGCCTATAAAAGGAGTGGTATTTATCATATTACCTCGACATGCATGTATTTCCTTTGAGTGCCGAGAGAGCTGATTGTTGTACATCACTACTATCTGTACTATCCGTTCACTTTATAAGTGTGCACATGTGCCGTGTCATATTTTAATAGTTAAATGACTATAATCAGTTATTCTTGTTATGAAGACTATAGAGAGAACCTAATTTTACGTTGTGGGCCAGTTCAGTTAAATCTCAGTGGGTCAGACAAATCGGTTAATCACCTAATGACCATTTAAAAAACCTGATGTGTTCTCCTTAAGTCTCCATGTTTCTGCATTGTAAAGAAATGCTGCTGTAGTAAATGAAAGTAAAAAGCATTGCTGTTAGACTTTGTCTATAAGAAATAAAGTTGTAAACATTAAAAGCACTTGTAACTCCTTCCTGATCTTTGACGTGTAATTAAAACAACAAAAAAAAAAAAAAAAAATAGAAAAAAATCTTTGAATTAACAGCAAAATTCAGTTTTTACATTTTGTTTGTGTATAAATAAAAACATTTCTGTAGAAAATTATGGAAAACAATAACTTTTCTGTTATTTAATAATGAAAATATTACTTCAATTTGTGACCTTTAATGGTTTACTTTGGTGTCTATCAGGCCATAAGTGATAAGCTGTCATGCTATAAATAAGAAATGAATTTTTTGTTAGGTTTTTTTTTATTTTTAATGAACCTCTACAGTTTCTTGCTTTGCTTTCACTTATTGTCAGAAATCACGATATGTAACAAATGTCTGTGACCTCAGTCAGATAATCTGGGTAGTCAGTGGTTGATCTATTTCTTTAATGAGCCTGTGGGTCATTGCAGTTCATCAACATTTTATCAAATACAAGGAACATTATTGACAAGTTGGAAAGTGAGAGACGCCTTTCTCTGAGCCTCCCTGTCTCAGTCAGTGCGAGGCTAGAGGAAAAATGTAACTCTGGTAAAGCATGAAATCTGACGGGCTCTTTGTCGTCCACAGAAATTGCAAGACATTTTCGCTTTGGTAGTCAAGAGGACGCCCATGAATTTTTGCGGTACACCATCGATGCCATGCAGAAAGCCTGTCTCAATGGCTATCCGAAGTAAGGATTTATGCTTCTTATGATATTTGTTTAGTCATTAGTCATTACATGACTAACTTTTGTCTTTGTGTTTTTAGGCTTGACAGGCAGACCCAGGCCACGACACTGGTTCACCAGATCTTTGGAGGTTACCTCAGGTCAAGAGGTATTGACTGATGAATAAACACGCAGCTCAGATTAAGTCTTAATGGTTTGATGCAGGTTAATACTCAATATACTAAATTAGGCTAATATAATCTTTTTAGTTATGCATGGAAAACAGAGAGATGTCATATATGTGTCTCTTACCTTGGCTTAAGATGCAGGTATCCTGTGTAATTATTGAAAATAAACTGTATTGAATAGTTAAATAAATTTTGACAATCTCTGTGTTTTACTTAAGAACCCACTGCTCAAATATTCTAATTTAAATTGAATTTAAATCTTATTAAAAGAGACATTCATTATGATTAACTTTCATATTGAAAGTGAGAGGTTAAGGAACAGTTTGTGTAATTTCTTTTATGTGGGTTCAAGAGTTTCGCTTGTTCTATAATGGAAAAATAGAAAAGAGTTAAAATGTAAAAGGAATTTCCCCTTAAAGTTTGCTCTAATAGTCAGATGAGGTTGTTTGAGGTGCCTGACAGTTTCATGTTTACAGGAAATTGAACTGAGGTTGCTTCAGCTTCAATAGATTTTACTTACAAGTACTGTCAGAAGAGTGAGACTTGTTTTTTTTGCCTTTCAGTAAAATGCTCTATTTGTAAAAGTGTCTCAGATACGTACGATCCTTACCTGGATATCGCCGTTGAGATTCGGGTATGTTGCACGATATCTCCTTATTGTATAACGTTTATTTTCATGGAAATGTTCATGTTTCTGTCTTTGGAAAGTTTGGTAACGTAATTTCTGTTGTGTTGTTTTTAGCAAGCAGCAAACATAGTGCGAGCCTTGGAACTGTTTGTTAAACCAGATGTTTTAAGTGGAGAGAATGCCTACATGTGTGCCAAGTAAGTTCCCCTCTCATGTAGTCAGAAATGATTCAAAATACTTTCACCAGACACTTCATTAGGTACACCTTGTTAGTACTGGGTTGGACCCCATTTTGGCTTCAGAGCTGCTTTGATTCTTTGTGGCACGTATTCAGCAAGGTGCCTCTTGGGCCATATTGACATGATGGCATCACACAGCTGCAGATTTGTTGGTAGCACATCCGTGATGCAGATCAGTATAACTGCAGTAGCTCAGTAGTTTCCGAAATAGACTGGTTGTTGATGGCAGACGGGCCAAACCACGTTCAAAGTAATTTAAATCACCTTTCTTCTCCATTCTGATGCACAATTTCAACTTCAGCAGGTCGTTGTGACCATGTGTACGTACCTAAATGCATTTAGTCGTTACCATGTGAATGGCTGACTAGATGTTTACATTAAGCAGTTGAACAAGTGTATCTAACAAAGTCAGTGGTGAGTGTAAATCTTAAAATTTTTGGGGAAAAGGTCTTAAAATTAAAAAAAGATTAAAGAGTGTCGTCATAATTTTTATTTTTCGTCTTCTTCAGGTGCAAAAAGAAAGTGCCGGCCACCAAGCGCTTCACAGTGCATCGAACATCCAACGTACTCACCCTTTCACTGAAGAGGTTTGCAAACTTCAGCGGTGGAAAAATAACAAAGGTTAAAGAATTTTCACGACACGGACTGATTTTTAGCAAAACTGCCTCATTCCTCTATATATCTCACACCTTTCTGTCATTTTCTTCTTCTTTTTCAGGATGTTGGTTACCCAGAATTTCTAAACATCCGCCCTTACATGTCTCAGAGCTCAGGCGATCCTGTCATGTACGGCCTCTATGCTGTTCTGGTGCATTCAGGCTACAGTTGTCATGCTGGACACTACTACTGCTATGTGAAGGTAAGACGGTATAGATAAACAATCTTTTTAGTATGCGTGTGACAGGAACGTGAAGGAAAATTGGCTTTAAAAATCCTTCCACTCCGTCTTGTGGATTCCGATCGGGAAAGGTGACAAATTAGGTGTCAGCGATACACTGTTTGTGAAAGCTTGTTGTGAAACTTTCCCATTAATACGTCAGTTTTTTGGAGTCAGAAGTGACTATATGTGGACAAGAGAGTGGATTGTTAATAGCTTACCATAGCAGACCTGGATAACAAGCTGTATCCATCGAATATACCAGTACAACACATTTACACAGATAGCTGCCAGTTTTTGCCAAATATCGATCTTCACCAAAAGTCAGGGTCACATTGGTTTCTCTCAGTTCCTTTTTAAAAGCTAAAAGTAAATAAATCCCTTTCACAGCTAAACTAGTGATTAAGATTTGAGAGCTTTAGTTATCATTACAGGGAAAATGGCTTTATTTTATGTTTCTTCTCTCTTTTATCCTCACAGGCAAGCAATGGACAATGGTACCAAATGAATGATTCAATGGTGCACTCAAGTAACATCAAAGTGGTCTTGAACCAGCAGGCTTATGTGCTTTTCTACTTGAGGTGAGACGGTAGCGAGTGATGCAAGAGATCAAAAAAGATGTCTGTACCTCCTGGATGTGCAGTCCAACAAACTAGAGTCTGTGTTTGTGTGTTAAAGGATACCTGAAACCAAGAAAAATGCAGATGGGCAGACCACCAAGCAGGGGATGTTGTATTCTGGGAAGAATACGGCACCATCGGAACAGATAAAGAGGTCCAACTTGAACGGGCCTCTCTCTTCCCCACAGGTGAAAAAGGTATAAGAAATATTTGGCTTTTTGTAAAATAGTAAATGTATGTGTTAAACTTTCTAGCTTTTAACATTCTGGATAAAAAAAATGTAAGAAAAGCCCATGTTTTCTTGATAGAAACTTGAGCCAGCCCAGCTGCGCAAGATCCAGTCGATGGACGGTGGTTTGGGTTTGCCCATTTCCAGGAACGGTGTGAGCACTCAGCCACAGCCCCGACTGTCCAACTGGACATCCTCTTCCAACGGTCTGCCAAAGCTGCCGGGTGGACCCGCAGTTATAGAGGAACCTTTCAAGAAGGTGAAGAAGCCCTCTTCGCAGAGCCAGCTGCCATCCCGCAGCAGCACTCCGACCCCTTCCAACAACGGGGTCAGCAGAACGGAGGGAGATAAAAAACAAGGTGGAGAAGGCAGAGGCATGGCAGCGTCTACCTCATTTAAGTCTTTGTCTGACTCCTCCTCTGCTGACACCACTGAGTCAAAGGTACGGTATAAAGTCAACAAGCATGAATACAAATGTTACATTAAGGGTGAAATCTTGACAGGGATTTTTAATTTTGATCATCAGGTAATAAAAATACTCAAAATATTTGAGTGCTGTGAAAAGCAGTGGCATTTCTTTAGGGAAACATGCTTTCCTACAGAGATTCAGTCTACAGTAGCATGAAAAGAAGGATTCTCTCACATTTCAGAAGCCATGTTTGATGTAAAAGATCAGATCTGCAGCTTCACAAAAGCATAACCGCCACCTGTGGTTTTCTCTCTCTGGACCAGGACTCCGTTGGTCCCAAAAGTGCACCAGTAGGAGAGACTCCCTCCACTCCTCGGAAAGGCTCCAGCGGCCTGGCGTCTCCAGCAAGGAGCGTGGAGCGCTCTCAGAGCACAGAGGAGCAGAAGACGGCAAAAATTAAACCCCCGGCTCTCGGCAACATCACATCTGAAGCCACCAGCACCATGTCACCTCCACCTGCCAAGAAGCTTGCCCTGTCGGCCAAGAAGGTGAACGTCATCCCCATCCACAGCAGTTGCCTCACTTCCTGTCTTACTACAAACTCATAATAATTGTGCTTCCTGTCGTGTAACGCCACACCTGCTGTCACAAATTGCACCGTTGATTTCAATTAGTCTTTTTTATTCAGGCAAGTTAAAGAGTGGTGTTGTGTTACGTTTTATGCCTTTTATGTAATGTCTTATTTCTCCAGTGTACCGTCTAATCAACCACATGTTAGCACTTGTTTAAAGTTTGTCTTCTTTTCCTTTAGTTTGTTCTTTTTTCCTAATCATTTCTAATTCTTCTCTGCCATACCCTTTCTACTTTGTTTTCCTCTCTCCACCCCCCCCCCAATCATCCTTTTAATCACCCTGTTTTTTTCCTTTATTTACTCTCTTCCTTATTTTTGTCACACTCATGGCTATTTTCTTTAGACCACCAAGTTTTTATTTATGTCGATAACTGCAGGCTCGCAGCCGGAGTCCGAACAGCATTGATGTTCTGCCCCGTTTGCCGTCCAGTGACCCCATGCATCAAAATCAACTTAACTCCCTCACCCTTGCCTCACCCACTCCCACTCACAGGTATGTATATGGAAACCTGTTTCGTATTGCGAATACTCACACTAGGCATGGTTGAGTTGTACAGTCCTCTTAGGGGGTCAGTATACTCTTAATGTGAGTGTATCCGTTCAAATTTTGACACCCAAAAACAAAGACGATCCTTATTTCTTTTCCAGAGCTGATCCATTCCATTCATGTAAAGTCCAATCATCACCTTTAGCCCATTCAACTGGATCCTTCAAACTGCAGAGTCCTCAGAAACAGTCCCTTTTCTCCACACTGCAAAAGCCAAGCGTGAGCCTTCCTCCTAAAACAAACGGTCTTCACTGTCCAGGCCCAAAGAGTCCCAAGTCTTCCAACAAGCTCAACTCAGTGGTTCAAGAACCAGACCTTGATGACCCTCCCGCTCAAAATATCAAACACAAAAAGAAGAAGAAGAAGCGGCGGCATTCTGAGGTGGAGAGCGTCCCAGAGCCAGTCACACCCCCAGCTCCACAGACACAGTGCACTGCAGCAGAGTCCGATGGCGAGAAGAGGTGCAAGAGGAAAAAGAAGAAGCGAAAGCGGCTGGACGAAGACGGAGAGAAGGCGAAGGAGCGGGCGTGTGTCTCGTCTCATTTGGACACGTCAGGCCAGGAGGAGGACTGGTGTCAGAGTGGCATGTGGAGCCTGACCCCTCAGTCCAGTGCAGAAGAGTCTAAGAAAAAGCCTCAGTTATCCGCTACAACTCAATCGCAGTGTGAGTCAAACCGGAAAAAGCAGGAAATGGATTGTGTGTTGAAGAAGAAGAAAAAGAAGAAAAAGAAAGCCAATGTGGGTCAGTCAGGAGACGCTCTGCAGGATACAGCGTCTGCACGCTCTACAACAGAAAGGTTGGTTCGAGTCTGGTTATGTTTGTTCTTCACCTGAAGTTGAGTTCGTGTGTAAAGCTCTCAGAAAGTCTACATTACTGGCTTGACTCTAGGAATCAAGAACTTTTCTAAATGTGTTATCATTATTCATAACTCTCATAAAGGACTTGAAATAAGATTCTTTTTCATTAAATATTTGATCTTCTCACCCTTAAGGGTTAAGAGTGAGACAAAGTAGTTGCTTCTGCTATCTGCCTTTCATTACCTCGATCTCTCATCTGCTTTTTCCCCAGAAGCAGTTCTGAGATGAAGCCCACAGGGAGCCAGAAAGATACAGGAGATTTATTAAAAGTAAAAAAGAAATTAAAAGTGAAGAAGAGGCTAAAAGAAGAGATGCAGCAGTGGGAGGAGAGCAAGCATTGTCCTGATGCTGAGACTGAAGCATCGGAGCCCCCGTACAAAAAGAAAACGATGGAGAAGGACAGAATAAACAAAGAAAGCACAGGTGTGTGAGCGAGAACTTAACATTACATCGATTACCTGTGGAGTGTCAATGTAAAATTTTGATTGGAGCCATTTGACAAAATCACTTTGCACCTCTGCAGCCTTTCAGCCTTTCTGTGGAGTGACCAGTCATTCTACTTTTGTGCAGAGTGTGACTCATTGCATTTTGAGAATGTCAGATTTAATCACAGTTCTGTGATTTTGTTTTGTTTTTTCTCAATTCCCAGCCACAGTGGTAGTGTGGGACAGCCAAGTGAAGGACGGCTACAAGCGCAGCGTGGCACCAGCGGCTGATGGAAGTACATCGGATGGCTCGACCCGCGCTGCACCCGTAGCTTGGGATGGGAAAAAGACGAGTAGTGTGGTAGAAGAGCTGCTCAGGAACGCTTCGGATAAAGCATACGGAGCCAATGGTGAGATGCAGAGTCATATTTGTGTTTTTAAATGCAATTTTAAAGAAAATGTGTTTTTAAAGACCCTAAAGGGTGTCAATGTCTTGTCTTCACTAGTCCTCAGTTGGGATGGTGAGGTCTCTGCTGTCAGCAGAGATGCCATTGAAGATGCCCGCGATGCCAGGTGTGACACTGTGATCGACGAGTGGGATGAAGACTTCGACAGGGGAAAGGTGAGGGGTGAAATGCAACATGAAAAAAGTCATTGTCTGTCTGTTCAGTTCACAAGAATCTGTACTGCTGCATTAGAATTAGTTAGATTTCAGTGAAACTTGCACACAGTGATCACCTAATGGGTCTTTACTCAAAACGTGCATGAGGTCAAAGTTACATTTGTCAGGCAAATTTAGTGCCACTAACCAGACACGTTGTTGCTCTTGGGACCTAAACAGTTACTTGTGACACTTTGCATGTATATTGTGCAATCAAGTACGATCCCTGGAAAGATTGTCTAAAAATGTGTTGTTGTAATCTGTTATTAAACAACACAGCACCCCTATTTCTCTCTATGATGGCCAGTTTTTACCCTGCTTTCCTGTTAAGTATTTTGATTATTAACAACTGAAATACTTCTCTGAGACGATATATGCAATTATTTAATTTTAATTTGTCCCCTTTTCTACTTGTTAACAGGTGAAGAAAGTAAAGCAGTATAAAAGAGAGAAGTGGAGAGGGGCCAGCAGCATGTTCCAGAAGATTCAGGACAGGCGGAACAAGTGGTCTGTAACACCCGGAGGGAAGAGAGTTTTTGGAGTCCGACGCTGAGAGTCCAGATTGCTGCTGAAGTCTTGCTGACTTGAAATTGAGACAGAAAATACTTTTCTTACCAAACTCATTTACCCAATCTCTCCCTCTCTCTCTCTCTCTCTCTCTCTTTTCTTCTGTCTTTTGTTTGTTTAATCCCCCATATTCAAGAATAAGATATGTGCCAAAAGCAGTACACATTACTGCATCAGCAGTCTGCCAACACAACTTTTAAACTAATCAATGTGAAATATTGTTTTCAGCAGACAGCTGAATTTCACTATCTCCCCTTTAGATGCCGCCATGAGCAGCTTAACGTTTTCTATGCATTCAGTATTTAATTGAAAATCCTTACATCACGAACATCACGTCAATATCGCGCTAGATTTGTGTCCTTTGAGCCCCGATTATTTCCCTGAAAATGTGCTACCATGAAATACAAAAAGCTTTACCGTAATTGTGAAAGGTAGGCTGTGACTCATTGGCCTCGCTGAAAACTGCGCTGAAAACGCAATCTGAGCAAAAAAAGTGACCTTTTTAACAAAAAATGAAATTATTCTATGTCAAATAACAAAGCTGGACTCATTCATTATTCTTGTTTTAGATTTCTTAAATATTTTTATGTTATTATTATTTTTTTCTCATAAGTTGGGATTTTATTTTGTACTCTAGTGTCTGTACCACACTGCTTCTTTTTAAGGACCGAGTTTTGCCTGCATATTGTTGGTAAAATTGAGGTTTAAAATAGCCACTGTTTCCTCATTACGCATGCCTAAACTGGTTCAAAACCCATTTTAAATGAAGGGTCGTTTGTAGTTGCGCAGTTCTTGTTACACACGTGATTTTTCCCTTCCTTACCAAGTTCAGCTTTAATGTTAATACATTAATAATACAAAGGAATGCTCGGGCGATGTCATCGATATGGAGGAAACGCATCGGATGCTGTTAGTTTTATTTTTTATTCATGAGTTATTGTTTTCTTACAGCTCGGTGCAATTGTTGTGTGCGTCGTAGAGGCCGGCGTTTCTGGAGGAACTGTCGTTGGCGCAGTTAATTTTCTACTGTGCAGCTATCCAACTATGTAGCTCATCTTATCAGTTCTTCATTTAGAGAAGCTCAGTTTGGAAACATGTTTTTGTTTTCTGTAAAGAAGGAAAAAAAACTCCACAATGGGTCCTTCACCACTATACTGCAATTAAAGGGTTACATTTTATACTTCTGGCACTGTGTTATGATGCGATAACTACATGATGAGATCTTCTTGTCCCCTTGTATCTTATACCTCTATGCAATTTTCTGACAGTCATGCTCGCCGTCTAGAAACTGGGCTGAGACTCAGGAACCCAGAACCTCCTGTATTCCCATCTCCACCCTTGATCAGACCCCATTTCATGTAGGAGTCATCCCTGGACCTAAGCCGCCTCGTTGCATCCTGTACATCCTATAAACAACTGTTTTATACAAAATATATCAGGTGTGGAATCCATCTAATCACCTTGCACCAGTTTGGGCACAGATGTGTAGAGAAACTAAAGTTAAATAAACAAATGCTTTGCCAGTGTAGATTGTACAGTCCATCTTGTGCTACCAGTGTTTCCCCCACCCCGACAACGCTGTAAAGATTTACCCATGCATTTCTTTTCATTCTAGAGATGTTGCCTTGAATTGGCTATAAAAAGCATAGGTTTTAATGTTATAAATATGTAATTTAAAGAAGATCTTTACTGTGCTACTAAATACTCAGAGTAGTCGGTGGGTGTTGAGAATTTATCTACAAGTGTGTTTGTTCAGTTGTGTGTAAGAGAGACATTTGTTTTTCATGCAAGTCCTTCCTTATGTCACTGTAATGTGTACAGTACAAGAGGGGCAGTGTCATTTCCAAAGGACAGCTGTGAAGTGGACTGGCAGATGAACATTTACTGGCGTGAATGGACAGTCCACATGTTTGCATTGATGGTTCCATATTTTGCACCACCTTTTCTGACCAGAGAAGAGAGCTTTCATAATGAAAGTAGCTCTTACCTCGTAATAGCTAACTGAAAAGGTGCAATAAAGTTGTGACTTTTGTGAGCTGATTGTGGGTTTTTTTTTTTCTTTGTCTTCCTCTGCTTTTTCCAAATATACAAATGGTATGTGGGTAAACAGCACAAATAGGGTCAGCATCACTGTTTAAGAAGGGTTCTTTCTTTAAGAAAGTCTGACTTACCAAAAGAGGTGCATGTATGTTGTATTGCCTTTATCTATGGAAGCTGAACCACTTACTGCACTTTCTTGTTAATACAGCATGCTGCTGGTTGGGTTACATTTAAAATGGACCTCAAAACCATTTGTGTACCATTTCAAGGAAACATGGTGCTCAATGCAATTGCAAGAAATTATGCACGATGTTCAAATTTTGATTTAAACAGATCTGACGAATTAGGGTGAGCTCTGACTGGGAAACCAAACACTTGTAACCCACAGGCAAAGCTCTAAAGTATACACTGCTTTCTTGTCTTTTTTCTGTCTGAAAAGGACTCTAATCTACAGGATGAACAACCTAACAAGTCCTAAAACTACAGATGGAAACCAGATCTCATTAGCAGGACGTTTACTGTGGGTGATAGATCAACTCTCTCATTCACTTGTATAATCACTTATTTTTGTAATAGGGGGAGATGCTGCTGACCAACTAAGTTGGGGAGTTTTTGGTTTGTTTTTTTTTATTTGACATTTCAGACCAACCCATCTTTTACCTCCAGTCTGTGGCTATGATGTATGAGAGATACCAGTTGGATTTATGGATGCCCAATCCCTTCCAGATTTCTAGGGCTTCCTGAGCAGACTTTGCATACTCTTCCTATGCTTGGGTGGGATTTGTTCAATTACTCTGGTTTCCTCCTGAATTACAAAAATATGTCAACTGGTGATTCTCAGTTGGCTGCAGGTGTAAATGCAAGGTAGCTGAAGCATGCAAGTACAGAATAAAGTGCTGTGTGAATATGTGTGGCAAAGGTAATGTTGCTGCAGTATAGAGTGTTTTGAGTGGTTCAGCAGCTTCTTAATGCCAACATATATTCGCATAGCAGTAACCCAATGCATTTAGCCATGTAGAGATGGTCAAGATCACCTGCTGAGAAACAAGGTAAGCATCAGAATGAGGCAGAAATTAAGCTTAAGTGTAAGTTCAATAAGGAGGGATCTGTAGTCACTCATCTGTCTGTTTTCCTGTGTATTCAGCTGCTTTTCTGTTGTTTACAGGACTACTGCTTTCCCATGCTGTCAATCTCATTTCTGACATCATTACTCTAGTCCAATCAATTCTCGCCTGCCTTCTTTGAGCCAAAAGCCTCGGCTTTGCATGGTTTAAATCTGTGCTCCCTGCCATTCTCCCTTTCAGATTCTCTTTCATGCAACCCATCTCCACTTCAGTTACCTCAGCCACAGCTCTATTCAAGCCTCAGTCTTCATCTTTACCACCATTTGTGGAGGTCCTGTCTTAAATCCAATCACTGCTGGGATTCTGTTCTGCCATGATGGGTCATTTGGTGTCTAATCGCCCAATACGCTAATTTCTTTATCTCAGTAAATCATGTTTAGCTCTCTCCTTATTGAAATGTGATTTAAGTCATTTCGAACATGGCATGTTGGGGTCAGACCAGGGGTCCAAGGTTCACAGAGAACGGTCAGAAAAACAGCAAATATTTATGAGTGGAAGAAGTGGAAAAGGACTGCTTCAAGCTGATAGGAAGGCAACAGTAATTCAAATAACCACTCATTAGCTCCAGAGGAGCATCTTTAATTGCACAACATGTAGAGCATGTTAGCAGATGGGCTACAGCAGCAGAAGACCACACCAGGTGTCACTTCTGCACCGTGTTCACTTTATGCCACAAAGGACTATCGTTAGCAGCGGCCACTGAGTTTGTTCTACTCCATCTGTGTTTTTCTCTTGGAAAACAGGGATGAAGTTGCTTTGGTGAGCAACTGAAGTCTATTCATTAGCTCAAAAGGAAGATTTATTTACGTCTGGGAGCTAAAAGAGACTGAATAACGCTCTAATAAACAGAGGATCACCTAAGTCTGTTTTGCTTCTCGCATTACATTTAGTAATTTTCTCATATTTTCACTGGACGTTGTATTTAATGAATTATATGAATAGTTGCATGCACACGTTACAGGGCCCGTCAAATAAGCAGCAAGTTATAAAACCTAGCAGCAGGACATTTAGTAAACTTGAAGCCAAGTTAGAGCGTGACATCACATCTGGGATGGGAGGGGCCAGCATGTGCACCGGCTTTTCTGGAGAGCTACATAACAGCGGAGCAGCCAGGCATCGGCAGCACGCACCTCTGAAACGGCAAAAAGGAAGGGACAAACAGAAAAGCAACAAGCTAAGAAAAAAAAAAAAAAGTAAGCTTACGCCCGCTTTCAAGTTGAGAGCTGGGAGGTGAGGCGAAGCCAGAGAAGAGACGAGAAAGGGAGGGAAGGAGGGCGGCAGGTAACGGAGTTGCTGCGGGCGCTTCGAGAGAGACATCCCCGGACAGAGACGCCTTCATCAGCCGCAGCAGCAGCAGCAGCAGCATCAGCACCACCGGGATGGAGGGGGAGAATTACGGTTTGTCCTCATCGCACTGTTTCACGCATGTAGCAGACGCTTTGATCCAAAGCCTGACACTGCATGAGCGCATGCTTTTCAGCACTGCCGTAGCGTGTCCGTGTTCCTGCTGTGCCAAGAGATTAAAAAAAAAAATGCAGCCCACTGAGCTATGTCCACACTACTGCCTGTCTGTTTGGTGAAAGTGTTAAAAAATGACAACGTGTCACACTTCAAAGTAAGTCCTAGTCCGCAGCAGGCCTGTATGCCGTGTTGTTTTCATCCTACACTTACCCGTGTTTATGTAGTCTAAGCGCATACACAGGAACAGGAAGAAGGATGCAATCTAAAGCCAGCTTTAAAACAGGTGGTCTCTGTGGTATGCACATATATAAAAAGGTCGACGCAATTAATTATTTAGCATCTCACTGCAGCTATGACAGCAGGGTGACAGCTGTGAAAACAATAATAATAATAATAAATCGGATTTTTACACTCAAAAACAACAGCAGGGAGAAACAGAAAAGTTCCTGCTCTTTTGGGAGTTTACATGATCCGGACTGATTTATTTATAGGATATCAGGCTGGGATCTATTTTAAGGCTGACATAGTTTTTCTTTTCTCTCTTTTTCTCGCTTTTTTTTTTTTTTTTACAGAATGCCTTCTTATACAACTACTTGTGTTGAAAAAGATGTGAGCCATATTTACTGGAAATTCAGCATCATGTCATCAAGTGTATGGTGACATCCCTGATGATGTCAGACCAGGATGAGCTAGCTGGTGGCTCAGCTTAGAATATGATAGAGCCTTCGTCTCAATTATTTAGTAGTTTAGGGTTTTTTTTAGTTTTTTTTTTTAGTGAGCTTAATGCATCTCAAAATAGAACCTCCAGCAATGGCCTCATTGCAAAAAATTCTACTGATGCTCTGCTGAAGGGAGAAGGAGGGGGATGATGCTTCTCATCTCTTTTCCAAAAATGAGGGGAAGTTTTCGTCTAATGGAAGTATCACAGCTCCTAACAAAGGAGCAATTGCTATAAAGAGTCCATAGGTGGTGACTTTGGGTAGCCCGTGCAGGGTGTTTTCCTGTCAGCCCCAGAACAGGATAATGATATGCCGTCAGCGACTTCCTATTTGCAAAGGAGCTGAAAGAATCAGTTGGTGATTATGTAATTATCTGCTGAAGTGTGAGGCATAAGAAAAGAGACACGCTGAAGCACCCAGCGCATTCAGATAACACTCTCGCTGTCCCCGACACCTTCTTAGTCAAATCGACAGCTTGTGAATCTGAATGAAGAAGTGCAAAGCATATCATCTCCTCTGTGAGCAAGAAGACGGGAAGCAGATGGAAGTAAAAGTGGAGATGTCGTTTTATTTTGGCACAATTATTTCCCCCCACTGCAGTTTATTATTAGTCTGGACTTATATAACAAAACACAACATTCGTCTGGAGGCTGCCTATATTTCTAATGTAATTTGTATAATTTATTGCGTCGTGGCTTCACCTGCGTAGCTGCCTTCTTACATTTACAGCAGGATTATCATTGAAACAGGTTTCTGAACTGTGTTCCAGTGATGTTGCTAGGTGCTGGCGCCCTAAATCAGCTACCTGGGGATTCACGAGGCGTGGCTGGGTTTCAAGACTTACTTAAAAGGCTTTGAGCTGCAGGGTGTCAAAATGTTTTTTTTTTCTTTTGTGTGCACCCCCTCCCATCTACTTGCACCTGTCAGCGCAGTTCGGTTTCTCTTTGCATAATAAAATGCGCACAAAGGAAACAGTGCAACTGCTCATAGGTGTGGTGCGCTGGTGCTCTAGGGTGACAGGTATATGTGGTTTCTGTGGTTATGGGTGTCATCTTTCTCTCTGTCAGTTTGACCTCTCCTCTTTATCTGAGTGATTTCATCTGAGAAATAGAGATGCTTCTGCTGGTCTTAATGCTGCGTGTGTGTGTGTGTGTGTATTTTTTCTTGTTTTCTCTTTGTAGTTTTTTTTCCCTTAAACTGTCACTCTTCAGCCATGTGACACATTTACTCCAGCTCTAAGCTCCTCTCATGTTCAAAGCATACTGACACTGTCACGGAAGCAGCAAACTCTCAGCGGGCTTATGCAGACACAACTTGTTCTTAATAACAAGAAATAAGTAGTTACATAAAAATCACACCAAAGATGCTACAGCTGTTCTACTTTCTTGATCGTGTAATAACTCCAGAAATAAGAAGCGAAATGAATTTAATGGTTTGTTTAATGGGATTAAATTTGCACCGATCAAAAAGAGACGCAGATGAAGAGAAGTGCTCAAAGCTGAGCAACGAGTGCTGCATGTTGCTATTGTGGAGATATTGTGAAGCTCATTCAGCCTGTTCAGGTGTAGAAGCTCTAGCCTTCATATTCACTCTGGTTGTATCAGCAGAGACACTGGCTCTGCCCCCACTCAGCCAGTTGTTAGTCACCAGAGGTGATGCTATCATTAGGCTGCCATGTAGGAGTTCCACCA